AGAGTAATAGTACTTATCTCAAAGGGTTGTTATTACAATTGAATTATTTAATCCATAAAAAACACTTTTAAAAGTACCTGGCATATAACTGGTCAACTGTCGCTATCTATGAATTATTAACTATGTGCCTTTCTGAGCACTGGGGATATGAAAGTGGACAAAAGATGCCCCTGTCCTCATAAGCATACATTCTGTTTATTAACAGAGAGTTCTCTCAGCCGATGGATATCAGTGTGAGAGTCTTTCTTATGAACAGGTAGAAACAGGAAGTCTCGGGGGCTTGCTTTCTTTGTTTTTTAATTGCTAAGGGTAATTTCACAGTCACTAGGTAACTTGTCTCAATTTCCTGTGAGTGAGTTCTGAACAAGGAGGATTTTATTAATTTTTAAAAATTTTTACTGAAAGTAAACAGCTATGTTAGGCACTGACTGGAGTTGGGCAACAAAGACAAGAAGTGATCTTTCTTCAGGGGCTCACAAACTAGTGAGAGAGTCAGATACACATAGACAAGACTTAAATCAAGACGAACTTTGATAAACGTAGTAAAACAGCAAAGAAGCAAGAGAGAGAAAAGTGCTATGGGCAGAGAGAAAAAGAAGAAGAAAAGTAACAATGCAAACACGAAGGATAAAGAAAAAAGGGAAAGAGGAGAGATACTGGAAGGGTATGTTTGATTTTCAGTGAGAGTTTTGGCATTTAGTGACTGCAGGGGAGTCTGCAACATTTCAAAGGTACAGACTGAGACCTGGGTTGGGAGCAGATGATGTCTTAGTTATGCTGAAATAAATTTCTACATCCAGGATGGAGCCACTCCCATCCAGAGTGCCATTATCAGCAAACCAAAACTTAGATCATGTTTGTGTCCTTGTAAATGTTCTGCTTCAAAAACGCAGTATATCCAGTTAGCTAATCCCCAAATGCCAAGCCAACTATTCTTCCTCCCCTGTTCCTTCTCACCCTCAACAAGGTTGACTCTGTGGCTCCAGCCAATCAGATATTTTCTATTTTTTTCTTCCTTGTTCTTTATTCTTTGTCCTATAAAAGCTTCCTGTCTTCCGCCCCATTTGGCAGTTCCCTGAAAGGAGACCATCCATTTCATGAAGTGTTATATAAAGTGTATATATCCCTAAACCGTCTTCATGGTTGTTTACAGTTCCCTCATTACGAGTATGTTCTGCTTTTGGAGAAAAGCATTGTTAGTAAGTAAATACGAAATATAATTTTTTTTGGCAACTTATACTTGACTTTCTTCATTATTTTCAGTGTCTTTTCACACTCAAATGATATTCATGTGAGTTTAAAAAATAAAACATTTTTTGAGTACGAACAGGGAAAACTAAGAATTGGGGGAGTATGATTAACTAAACAGAGAATATCTAACTAATTATAACCAACAAGCAGTATGTTTTCTTCCCCATACCCCTCTCATCACTCACATACACACATGGAAACAGAAGACAACAATAGCAGGGTCTTATTTTTATACATAATTATGATGTGAAGGTTATTATTCCTTGTGGTGAGGAATTTTTTAAATGTGTGTATGCACTTAATTTTAGTATATGTAAGTTACTTGAAAGACAGTATAACCTATCTATACAGCTGTATAACACAAACAGTAGCATTTCAAAACAGCTGAAAATGTAAGCAATTATCTTTCCAGATCCTTATTTTACAGATGAGAAAATAGGATTAAGAGAGGTCTGAGCCAAACTCAAATTTTTGAACACTTAGGCCAGGCCTTTTTTCTAAGCAAAGGTCACTGGTGACAATACTGTGTGTTTGACCTTAGATATTTGCAGACACCCACATACTAAGCAGCTTAACTCCTTTTCTGATTTACAGACCAATGCTTCTAACACAATGAGAACTTAAACAGAATCACTTTTTTCAGAGAAAGGTATGAATATTAATCACTTGTGTATTAATTATAGGTTAGAAATACAGTGTATCTTTGATTGACAGGAAATGTAAGGTTTAGATGCCATAAATTAAAGATGGCTGAAGCACCAGTATTAAAGATGGAGGAGAATATGAATATTGGAATAAGCTGAGGGGTAAGATTCTCTCATAGCTCTCTGAGCACTGAGGTGCTTTAGTTATTAGCTGGTGCACCACCAGATCTACTTGAATCACCTTTACCTGTTCCTGCTCCCATGTCCCAGCTTCTATATGTTTTGCTTTTTAAAGGTTTGTACCTGCCATATTGTTTAGACACCTAACCTTGGGCTTCTGGAGCCAGTCCAGAGAACCAGAAGTGCCTAAGACTTTTTCCTGCACATATATGCTTCCATTCAGGTCTGTATTCAATGACAGACTGAAGCCAGAGTATGGAAGCTCAGCTTCTTTGTCTCCATAGAATGAAACTCTAAGATGTAATTTAGACTCCAGCGTTCCCCTTAGTCGCTGAATTTGATTGGCATCTTCCTTCCCGGCAGGTCCTGCTTCCCCCATTGTCTTACCAGTTCTCCTGGGAGCTTTCTTAACTAATCACTTGCACACAAATTCCCATCTCAGGATCTGCTTTTGGGCAACTAGGTCTAAGATAACTACCAAAGCTATTTAGGATCTATCCATTCCTGCATCCATCCATATTTATTTATATTTGAGACCTCCCTCTCTCTTTCTTGCCTTCGTCTATGTACTTCCATACACTTGTCCCACTCTAACCCAACAGGTCACTTGAAACAGCATGTTTTCATTCTATACTCTCTCTATTTGTATAATCGTACAAATATCTAGGGCGATATTTGTTTTCCCAAAATAAGATCATTTGTACATATATTTCTTTGTATCTTGCTTTTCTTACTGAGCAATATTTCAATTTCTAGTAAATAAGGAAATTAGCACTTTAACTGAGTTCTATTTTAAGTTGCACTAGTTCAAAGCTTTATAAAAATATTCCTTGGAAGGAGAAACCATGTTATAGATGTAGATATGTAAAATGTATAGTAAGAATTTGAAGTCATAGTTGGGGAAAGGTTTAATGCTGTCAATCATTTTATGCTCTCTCTGAAAGGTCTGATATTCTAACATCTTTCATTGGGTGCCTACACATTATGTATTTATGTATGAAGAGATCATGATTTCTGTTTAGTTTGTACATAATTCCCATGCTATTGTGTCCTGATTTTATATCGTATTATACGTCAAATAATTCACTAACGCTTTCTTAAATGATACTGATTTAGTGCACTCTTCATCTTTAGGTCTGTTTACAATTAATCTTTAAAACCCACTAGAAGGGTTGATATCTTTATTTCCAGTTTGTAAATGTGAAGTATGAGACATAGGGAGATTAATTGACTTTTTCCTGGCCACAGGCATAATGAGAGTCAGAGTAACATGAATCAGGAATCCTTGGCTTCCAACTCTAGGTTTACTCCATTAGCGCTGGCTCATTGCCATTTTCTTACAAAATAAACTCCTTCATAACATTATTTATTCTATCATTAAAACATGGATATTATGTTAATGACCATCTTTCAGGATCTTATTATTTTCTAAAATTCTGATTGGATGAATGTTGTTTCCTTTTTATGGAATCTGTTTAATTTGTCTTTAACTAGAAATACTGCAGGTTATCCATCTTCAAACATATGAAGTATAAATGACTATAGAATGAAAGTAATTTTCTGTGTGAAATGTAACCTTTATAAAACACAAAGAAATATTTTCATCCTAAAAAGTTGGTTATAAATATGAGTGCATTGCTTTTTAAATAATCAGAAGGTTTGAGTACATGAGTATATTTAAACTAGATGACAGAAAATATGTATATTCTTGTGACAGGTTGCTACAGGTTGTAACATTTGAAAGGATAGCCCAATAGGATTTCTGAGCACATGACGGCCAGACTAATGTATAGAATCTGTAATCCAATTTAAACCGAGTAAATTCCTCCATTCTCAGACTATGAATTTATCCTCATCAGTTAATAACAATGATAGTTTCCACTGACTACATAATGCTGAAATTACTAGATACAGCTATGCTACTGAGTTGGTCTTCTCCCTTTTTCAAACTTATATTTGCTCTGAAGCAGTGGAATAGAAAAATATAGACTTCTGTTTCTCTTCTTGCCCTATATTTCTTCATAGGAAATCTAAGTTTATTTGTATGTTCCTTTGCTTCTAAAAAGTTACAAAAATTCAAGAAGTTCTTTCTTATTTTGGTATACCAATGGGGAATTACATATAATTTTTAAATTTTAATTTTTTAATGTAATTCTCCCTTATCAATATTCCAGGGTAGTAGTAGCTCAATGAGACATATTATCAGAATTGACTATGTGGTCTGCGATAATATGTATAGCAGCAATATCTTAGTGGTGACAGACAGTGGGGGGAAGCAGAAAGAAAGAATATGAATACAATAAAGCTAAGCAAGTATATAATTTGGGAAAATGTAATTCAGAAAAGTTTTAAATGACAGAAATGGAAATTAAGGTTAACAACTGATTTATTTACCAGATTTATCTTGCTAGCTTATAAAATAAAACAGGTAAATGTAAAGAAAAAATTAAATTCATCAGCCATTTCCATTTATAACTTAAATCATCCTTCTAAATTATAGCAGACCATAACTTTAAACTTACTGGCAAAGAATATGACCTACACGAACTTGCTTTAGGTTATGGTAAATCCATTCTGTTATTTCTTCCCAATTGAGTTTTAGAAACAATGTTATGTCAATTAAACTGTAAGTTGGAGTTGCTACTTCTTACTATACTGTAAAAAACTCCCTAGAGTAGGTCAAGATAAGAGATGAATATGTTGTATCTTCTATTTTAATCTGACATAAAACAAAACAAAATAATTAAGAAATTATAAGCACAATAGTAAATTGGAGAGTATTCAAAGACATAGTAGGTATGAGATTAGGCCAAAGAAGAACAGGTTTTAAAGTAAAATAATATTGTATATCAACATGCTTAATATATACATATATGCATATATATGTATATGTAGTTTTTTTAGGAAGCTCCAAATAAGACCTACTTTCTCATAGTACTTGATCTCGTAGTCCAGTATGGCTCCATTGGAAAAAGCAGGTGCTTGCCATGATAGGGCAATGCTATTTTGAGATGCCCAGTCCTTCCTTACCATACCTATCAGGGAAGGTGCTGAAAGGAAAGAAAATAACTAAGAATTAATTGGCAGGAATCATTCTCCATAATCTTTTCTTTAATATTTTGTCTTCCAGGGAAAACATAATTCTTGTTGAAGAGGACAGCAATTGTTGATGTCAGATTAATATGATAGCCTTAGGATATACTTGACTCAATCCAAATAAAGTATTAAGATATATTTAGAAGCACTACTAGGGAACATAGGAAAAAACTCAAGTAGTCTAAGAATAAGGGCCAGACTCATCATCTCTGGTTTTTTTTAGAGGATGACAATTTTCCTTAAACTGGTTTTGGTTTTGTGCTACAACATGAAGTACAATACACTTGATTCTTATATTTTATAAAATCTAAAGCTGCTATAGAAAAGTCCTCTGCAATCACAAGATCATTTAAGGCTTTTTCTTTCCTTTTGACTTAGTACTTCATAAAATCATATTACTTAATAGACGTTTATATCACAATCTTAACTACAGTAAATTATTGCTTATCAATGTGAAGATTATTTCTTTTGCATGTTTTCTGCGACATCTGAATACAACTGAAATATTTAAGTTCTGAAGTTTATTTTCATCATCATGTTTATCTCCTTATCCTATATAACATTTTAACAATACAATCCTAGTCCAAAGTTATGTTGTATTAAACTTCCAAAATTTACCTAGAATGTATACAGTGTAGGTTCTTTTATCTAACAAAATATTTCTCATTTTTAAGTATTCTAATTATTTTCAAAAGTAGTTTTCTACATAGATTTTAAAACACTCTTAAAAATACAATAAATATACTGAGATTGGGAAAAAATCCACCTAGGAAATTAGAAAAATTCCAAAAATTTGGGGGCTCTGTTGGTCAGACTAAGGGGAAAAGCACTTTAATACACTGGTGATGTAAATGCAAAAAACCACAACCCTTATGATGGGAAATTTAATAATTTAAGGTAAATTATATATTCATTTACACTAGTTTGGGAATCTATCCGAAAGATATACTGTACAAATACAAAGTGACATATTTACAAGACTACTTACTGAGATTTATTTATAAAGATTGGAAACAATTTAAATGCCCATCAATAGGAAATCAGTTAAAAAAACTATGCTACATGCACCATAGAATTATGAAGCTGTAAAAATGAATTGTGACTGTCTATAAATACTACAATGGAGTTATTTCAGGATATATTTCTAAGTGAAAAAAGTAAGGTGAAAATGTATAAAAACAATTTAAGGATAGACCTAAGAATAAAAATAATAACAATGGTTACCCTTAGAGGGTGGGAAGCAACAGGATGGACTCTACAGGGTTAGAAGCAAAACATGTCTGACTATATCTCCCCTTGAAGGTTTACTTTGGAACCCTGAAAATATTTTAAATAATTTTAAAAAACGAACATTAAAAAAAATCTCAAAAAAATTGAAAGAAAAATAAAAGAAATCTGTGTATTGAGTTTAAAGCAGAGCTTCCAAGAGGAACTACTTAAAATGATGTTAAAACACAGTAACAACATGTATCCCAATGGGACATATTTTTAGTATTTTAAAAATACTGCAAAAATTATTAAACTATTTTTTAGTAATGATACTGTTAGAGGTAGTGTTGGTATTTTGATTCTGAATATGTTTGTGTAAATTGAAGGATAAAGCAAATGAGTAATTATGTTGGTGTTAGGGTATTTTTCTTATGAGAAAAGGAGATACAGGTATTGGACCAATGAAGGTAAGTAAAAATCCTGTACTAGTAAACTCGAATTAGAAATAACGTTATGAACTCTTGACATCTTTCCAGTTTATTTTCAGATATCCATCCAAATATACCAATTGCAGTTGAGAATAGGATTTGAAAAATTGACTCTCTATGATTACAATGAATATACTTTAAATTTCTAAAAATGACTCAGGTATTAAATTTTGTATTTAATTTCTCAATGTTGTTTTTATATATTAAGGATAAAGTATTATCTTAAATTTGTAAGAATGACAAGTTTAGTTTTCTTAAGGAAATAAATACTTTAGAATCTATATTTAAAACTCTTTCCAGCTATTCAATGAAAGCATTATTGTTGGACTGAAATATATCCTTAAAATGAGTAATAATTATAGAAATTGCTAAGAAATATCAAAGTTTATGCCATAAGCTAAGACAGAAATACATAACATGCTAAATAAGAAAGTGTTCAGAATTTACTATTTAAGTTGGGTCACATTCACTACTAATAAACTATCTCTAATAAATTTATCCCACTGCATTAATGATCTTGAATTATAATATAATAATTAAATGGTGATCTATGGAAAAATTATAACTCTAAAGTGAATCATACAAATTAGAAGCTGATTTAAGTATACC